GCCGCTCCCTCCCACACCCTCCTGTAATGCGTCATCCAAGCGTCAGGCTACTTATCATATGTTACTCTACATCTTATCTCTGTCACCTCACGGGGTGGCCTTTGTTATTTCCTGCTTCAGGGAATCTTATTATTACCTATTGATTATTACTATGTATTATATCTCTATATTATTGCTTCCTCCTCTCTCATTCTCCTTCTCCTCACTTCCTCCTTCTCCTCCTCCTCCTTCCTCGTATCTGCTCGCTCCTCCTTCTCCTCCTGCCTCCTTCTCCTCCTCCTCCTTCTCTTCTCTCCTTCTCCTCCCTCTCCTTCTCCTCCTTCTCCTCCTCCTGCCTTCTCCTCCTCCCTCTTACTCCTCCTTCTCTCTCGCTCCTTCTTCTCCTCCTCCTCCATTCTACCTCACTCACTTCTCTCACTCCTCTCTTCTTCTGCGCACCTCCTTCTACTCCTCCCTCGCTCCTCCTCCTCTTCTTCTCCTCCCCATCCTTCTTCATCCTTCTCCTCCTCCTCCTCCTCCCCTCCTCCTCCCTCCTCCTCCTCCTCTTCTCCTCCCTCCTTCTTCTCCTCCTCCTCCTCCTTCTTCTCCTCCCCTTCTTCTTCCTCCTCCTCCTTCTTCTCCGTCCTCCTCTTCTTCTCCTCCTCCTCCTTCTTCTCCTCCTCCTCCTTCTTCTCCTCCTCCTCCTTCTTCTCTCCTCCTCCTTCTTCTCCTCCTCCTCCTTCTTCTCCTCCTCCTCCTCCTTCTCCTTTCCTCCTCGTTCTTCTCCTCCTCCTCCTTCTCCTCCTCCTTCTCCTCCTCCTTCTCCTCCTCCCCTCCTTCTCCTCACTCCTCCTCCCTTCTCCTCCTCCTCCTTCTCTCCTCCTCCTCCTTCTCCCCTCCCTCCTTCTCCTCCCTCTCCTTCCTCCTCTCCTCCTCATTCCTCCCCTCCTCTCCTCCTCCTCCTCCTCCTCCTCCTCCTCCTCCTACTCCCATCCTCCTTCTCCTCCTCCTTCGTCCTCCTCCCCCTCTCCTCCTCATCATCATCATCATCATCTTCATCATCATCATCATCATCATCATCATCTTCATCACATTATATCTATCATCATCACATCATCATCACAACATCAATCATCATCATCATCATCATCTCATCATCATCATCATCATCATCATCATCATCATGCATCTCATCATCATCATCATCATCATCAACATCATCATCATCATCATCATCATCATCATCATCATCATCATCATCATCATCATCATCATCATCATCATCATCATCGCTGGGGCATATAAATACTTTGTATATATTCCAAGACCACCAGCAGCCTTGAAATGCTGCACCCAATTCTTCACTGAATGCTCACACATGCCAACATTTTCCACTATTTCTTTTGTCCGGTGCCCAGCTTTGTGGAGCCCTATAATTTGAGCTATAGTTTCATGTGTTAAAGACTTCTTTCTACCCATAATCAAACATGTATAGCCCCAAAACCAAAGGGAACACTGGACAAAAGATGGGGCAGATGAGATACAAAAATGCAACACTTCCTCTCAACACGGCAGCCACGTGAGCACTGTGGGCATCACTGTGAGTGTGGTGTAGGGCCGTGATGTCATGCAAACGGCTGCTATCCCGTATAATGCACTGACAAAAAAAAGACCCTCCCTGTATGATAGGCCCATTGATTTTCGTCACAGCATTATGACAGGGCGCTCACCCGACATAATGCCGTGACTAGCACTGTACATACACTCAGTGTGTGTGAGCTGAGTGTATTGCTTAACTGAGCCACAAGGCACCTATATAAAAAACAAGAAGAGAAATAAATTGATTTCGAAATGGGGAAATTCAGTGACCATATTTTGACAGATCTTCAATGGTTGATTTTCACTTTAATGTGTTTAGTGCCAAGTCTGAAGAAAATGGACACCCAGCCAAACAGTTGGGTTGATCTGACAGAGTCTGGACAATAATGGAGGGAGGGTGGGAGGTTCATAATGGCAGAGAGGAAGAATGTTATTTTACTTTTAACCCTTTCAGGGTTCCGTGCCCAACAGACCTGTGGCTTTGAAGCCAGGGTCCAAACCGTAGATCTTTGCCATGAACTCAGCTCACTCAGATAACCTCTGAGTGGTAAATTTGGGCCTAGATATGAGAGAACACATCTATATGGTAAGTGTGCACCACATAGAACGAATCCTGCAGCACACAGTGCATAATGAGAGAAAAAAACTGCGACCATAATTTTGGATTAAAACAGCGACTTTGTGTGTTTTTTTACAGTTGTATTTGCAATTTCTTGGTCTCATTTGATAGAATGGAATATATATTACAGAAATAGAGATGATTTTAGTTAGTTTTAGTACTGGAAATGGCTTGAAACTGAGCTCAAACTAGCGGAAATGTTCTAATTTTACCGATGCTCAAGAGTAAAGAAATGTCATCACAAGTCTAATACCCATCAGCTGGTGGGTCTAATATACGTTCATGAATGTGCTGATATTATTTATGCAATTATTACAGCATTGCATAACAGTAAATCTTCTATTTTTTGGTTTGAATAAAAATTCATTATGTGAATAAAAAATAAAAATGGAATTCATTTGTAAAACCTGAAAACATAACTAATGAACAAAGGCAATGTTAGTTTAGTGCCAAGATTTTTAAAATTGGAATACACATTTTGAACTTTGTGTTAAATTGGCAAAATTACCAGTTTCCGATCACTTTATTGGGTACACAAATAACCCGCACATAAAAGAGAGAAGCTTACGACGACGTTTCGGTCCGAATTGGACCATTGACAAAGTCACACTGTATCGTTCCAGTCACGGTATTGAGCCTTTTTGTTATTTATATACTTTATTGGGTAGTTGAAATGGTTGACTGGGCGATTTCTTGTGCTCAATCGATAAAACAGTAGCAATACAATAGACTGTCATTTAGCATGAGTTTATTTGGCATGATTTGAGTATAGCACAATTGAAGAATTGCGGCACAATTTTGTGTAACATGTCTTATGATGAATTTAACACGGTTCAGTTTGCGGGAAGGAAAAACTTCCCTTTTCCTCGAGCGGCCACCTTGTTGTGGTTCAGCTGAGGAGACGTCCTGCCATCCCTCGCCACCCCCGACACCACCCCACCATCAAAGCATTCGTACTTCATACGTGTCCAGTCCAACTTCTCTGCTACAAGCTTGTGATTGTGAATTGTGTTTTGATCTTTTAATTGCTATATCTTGTATCTGCCAAGCAATCATGACACCCAGTAAGCATATCAGTGTTGCTGAAAGTGGCAAGAAAAGGTGTAAGCATTTAAGTCTTAGAATTAACGAAGGAAACAAAGATATTAGGCAAGACATCCTGTGGCCATAATGAAGTGTTACTTTGTATACATAAAAAAGAGGTAAATATAAGTTTGTGTCACTGACTGACTTACTGAATTGCTTGACTGACTTACTGAATCACTTGACTGATTTACTGAATCACTTGACTGACTTACTGAATCACTTGACTGATTTACTGAATCACTTGACTGACTTACTGAATGACTTGGCTTACTGAATCACTTGACTGACTTACTGAATCACTTGGCTGATTGAATGACTTAAAGTTAGACACTCCAGTACATCCATCAACTTCAGTACCAGAACCTCTACCGTCCACCTCAGCCCAGTAGGGCCACAGCATAACTCTCCACTCTCTTCACAATCATCCACAAACACCAGCATCCACAATTTAAGGTAAGAAATACTATTACTTCTGTTACATTTTGTAGTCTTAAGCAGTAAAAACAACATAATACATCATAACAATGAACTACAATTATATTTTCACTTGTATTTTTGTAAGATGTGGAGGCCTAAAAAAAAGAGTTGTTTGGCTTTTTTGGGGGCTCTCAGGAACGTAACCCTGTTTTTTCCATAAGTTCTTCAGTTCATCTGACACGGTTTTACCTAACATGATGTTTTCAGGAACGTAACTACCATGTTAACCCTTAAATGGTCCAAACGTATATATACGTTTTTTCAACATCTGAAAGTATGTAAAAAAATGTAGATCTTCTTTTTTGTTTTACATTTGAAAACGTGTAAAAAAATTTTTATCTACTTTTTTTTTTGTTATATTTGAAAATATGTAAAAAAAAGTAGATCTACTTTTGTAGCACTACGAATTTGAACGTCAATCTCTTTGGACTGTTTAAGGGTTAAATGACGATCTACTGTACTTGCGAAAGAGCTAAGAATTTGGTCAACTGGAATAATGTAATTGGCCTAAAATGGGAGTCAAAGTCGACAAAATCGGCAATGCATAAATATCACGGATGCATCAAAATTCGTGAGAGCATAATTTCGTAAATTTTCCATCAATTTTTGTACTTTTTGCTTTATTACCTTCAGAAAAAAGATCTATCATTTCATAAGAAAAAATAACAAAAAAATTTTTTTGAAAATTCTTGGACCTTGGCTATTACTCTGAGATTTGACCTCTGGACCCTAAAAGGGTTAAAAGAAGGGAAGGGGGGGTGATTATTCATTAAATCTGAATAATATTAAAAGAATAAAAAAAATGCACTTAAATAGAAGAGTCTAGTGTATATGTAATTTAGTAGAGTACACAAAAATAAATAACTTAAAACCTATCAGTTAGGCCTAGAGTAATAAAAGGTAAAAGTAAAAAATAAAAAATGCTACAGTACTGTATTACTAACCTGTTGTTTGTGTTACCGCCAAAAATAATAAGCTTGAATATAATTGAAAAGCACCGTATTGGCGAAGCACTCTAAAGTGAAGCACCATATTACCTAGGTATGCCTGGATATGCATCAAAATTTATTATATCGAGAGTTTACAGTACAGTACTTTATTGTTTCTTATAATGTTAAAAGTTTCAGCATCTGCACAGCCACAAAGGTTTTTATTTGCATTAATCTTCCAGTTTTTATTATTACTTTCTCTATGTTTCCAGAAGAGCATTTAGATTAACAGTATTTTTTTTGATTTCCAGGTGATGATCACATACGCAGTCACGATTACCTCGTACAGACCTTTAATGTGCTAACATTATGCAATGAAAGCTTCAAGGTTGATTGCAAAGCAATTAAATTCCTCTTGAGACATGGCTTCGATTTCAATAAATTATACTCCAGGGGCCTGCCTTATTACAAAGGTTGTGACAAAAATGTAAGTCAGACTCATCCATTTTTCACTGTACCAGTTGTAACAAAGGAATATGTTATTAAAAGGATGCTTCCAAAGTGGTATGTTAAGGGATGGTTCCGAAGTGGTGTGTTAAGGGATGATTCCAAGGTGGTATATTAACCCTTTGACTGCCACAGCCATACATCTTACGGGGTGCCGTGTTTGACGTATATATACTCATAAATTCTAGCGGCTTCAAATCAAGCAGGAGAAAGCTGGTAGGCCCACATGTGAGAGAATGGGTCAGTGTGGTCAGTGTACACCATATAAAAGAAATCCTGGAGCACGCAGTGCATAATGAGAAAAAAAAACGAGTTTTTTTTTTAATTAAAATGCTGACTTTGTGGTCTATTTTCGTATAGTATTTATGGTTGTATTCTCGTTTTCTTGGTCTCATTTGATAGAATGGAAAACATATTATAGAAATAGAGGTGATTTTGATTAATTTTACTATGAAAAGAACCTGGAAATGGAGCTCAAAGTAGGGGAAATGTTTGATTTTTGCCAATGTTCGAAAGTAAACAAATGATGTCATTGTCCAATAAATGTCCAACTAGCCTTTCTAATATTCAGCCATGAATGGGTTGATGTTATTTATACAATTATTACAGTATTGCAGTAGTCTGCATAATAGTAAGTCTTCTATTTTTTGTTTGAATAAAAATTCAAAATAGAAAGCAAGAGTAATATCAGAGGGGCCTGGAGACATGACTGATGAACAAAGAAAATGTTATTTAAGAGCCAGGAATGTCTGCATTGTTCATTCTGGACCATATTTTGAAATTGTCATATTTTTTAATTTTCGTGAAATTGGCCAAATTGCAAATTTCTGACCACATTATTGGGTAGTTGAAATCGGTAAATGGGCAGTTTCTTGTACTCAGTCGATAGAAAAAATGGAGTTTAGATCTTCTTTTTTGTTTTACATTTGAAAATGTGTAAAAAAACTTTTATCTACTTTTTTTTTTATATATTTGAAAATATGTAAAAAAAAAAAGTAGATCTACTTTTGTAGCAATACGAATTTGAACGTCGATCTGTTTGGACCATTTAAGGGTTAAGGGATACTTCCAATGTGTGTAATTACTGTATTTTTTTATTAACCCTTTCAGGGTCCGTCCCGTAGATCAACGGCTTTACGTTGAGTGTCCAAACCGTAGATCTACGCCAAAATTCTAGCGCCGTCAAATTTAGCGCGAAAACGCTCATAGGCCTACATGTGAGAGAACGGGTCTGCGTGGTGGGTGTGCGCCATAAACAAAAAATCTAGGCGCCCGCATAGCATTGTGGGAACGCCGGCTCAGTTACCCTTGTTCACCATGCCTCGTCGCAAGTCAGCTGTCACTCCCCGGAAAATTGGGACTCTCCTCTTCCTATTGATAGTTCTGACACTGATGGAAATGGAAATGAAGACGAATTCTACGGCTTTGATCAGTTAGTGACCGAAAGAATGACCAGGTTTATCGATAATAGTGCAGAAAACCATGACGATCCTCAACCTTCTACCTTGGTGTGGGCACTTGTGACTCACGGTCGGTTGTTCCTCATCGCAAGAGAAAAACTAATATTTTCACGTGGCCAGGCCTTGACTTCAGTAATGATGATAGTGACATGGACTGTGATTTTATTGCGCTCGACGATCAATCGAGTAGTGATAGTGAGGAATCATATTCACAGTGAAGCGTCGGTATGTTCGCCGCCGCATGCATTGGGTAGTGTACCCTATGCTGTGCCCAGGGGTTGGAGTACACCCCGGAGTACATCCCATGGCCCAACACCATTTTAGGTAGTGTTAGTGAGGATGATGTGGCTACACTTGGCATGGATAGACCACAGGCATCAGTGGATGGTGTTAGTGGTGATGGTTAGTGGCACCGCCATGCGTGACTCCCCAGGCCCACGCTGGGCCCCATGCTGACTCGTCAGTTCAAGGACAAGGGAGCGCCAGCCACCAGCCCACCAAAACCCACAACCACCCGCACACCCACCCTATGATGTCCAGTACCCACCAGCAAAACGTATGTGGGGATTGGCAGCAAAACCCCAATTTTGTTCCCAAGCCTCACCACTTTTGATGATTCTCAAAGTGGAATTTACCTACTTGTCCCTTGGAACCACGGCCAATGAACTGGAATTCTTTGAATTATTCTTTGACCAGCCATTGATGGAAATTATTGTCAGGGAAAGTAATAAGTATTTTGAGTACACCATGGCAAAACGATCTTATCCCCAAACAGTAAAGATTTACAGGTGGAAAGAGACGACTGTTGCAGAATGTATTTGCTTTTTGCAACAATAATGCTTATGCCTCACGTCTATAAGCATAATATAAAAGCTTTACTGGTCCACGATCGGTAATTTCTAACCCGGTCTTCAGTGAAATCATCCCAGTGAACGGGGTTTATCTTACTCTTACGTATGTTGCACTTCTCTGACAAAACCGGGCCCTGACAGAAGTGACAGGTTAAAAAAGATTAGAAAGGGTTTTTTTGTATCTCAAACAAAAGTTCAGGATTTTAATTTTATCCATTTCAAGAATCTTGTAATTGACGATTCTTTGTTTTTTGTTAAAAAGGTAGACTGTCATTCAAGCAGTATATACTGAGCAAGAGGAAACGCTTTGGTATAAAACTGTTTGTACTCTGTGGACTGTGACAGTGGCCTGGTGTTGGTATTGTTGTATAAAGGGTTTTAAAACATTGAAAGATACCAAGATGTTATTGGGTATCTCAGGTGACGCAGTGGAGAAACATGATGGCACCTTAATTTTGGGTAAGGGGCTTACATTATATACTGAAAATGGTACACAAGCCATTTACTCAGTGATTTTATGCGAGTGAACAAGACAGATGTGTGTGGCACAGTGCGTTCTAATCGTAACATATGCCCAGGCTCAACGAGGTGTGTGGTGATGACGTGCAGGTGTTTACTGCCAATGAATCATGGCATTACGGTGGCATGACAACGAGATGTCACATTGTTGACAACCATTCACCGTAAATGAAATGCAAGACAGTGGCAAAAGTTGATTGAGTGACTAATGAACATATTCGAAAACCAGTGTCAGTGATTGATTATACACAAAACATGCTCTTGGTTGACAAGGTGACATGCAGATTGTTTGTTGACTGTGTTCGTAAGAGTTACAAGTGGTAACATGAAAACTTTTCTTCCATTCATGGACATTTCAATGCTCAGTGCATATACATATGTCCAAATAAAGACTGGAAAACAGACCCCCGTATGGTGAATTTTGTTTTGTCTGTTGCAGACAACTCATAATGAAGTACCAGGTAACAACACCTGCTATGCAACATGGTCCTAAATTTCCCTCAGGATATACCAACCCGTTTGAGGAGAGAAGGTGATAATTTCATAATACAGCTTCCTTCAACTCAGAAGAAATTTGCTCAGAAGAGATGCATTGTCTGTGCACAAACAAAACGCGGCAACAAAAAAACGCAAAAAAACACTCGGTTTATGTGTGAGGAATGAAAGGTGCCTCTGGGCATGGTCCCTTGTTTCAAGGAGTTCCACAAGCTCCAGCAGTTCTAAAACCATGTCCAGTGATTGTAAATATGTAAATATATGATAGAACATTATATTATACAATATTTGTGCTTGTTTATTGAAATTTAAAAACAGGGGTTTAAACAATAATATGAAAATAACTTTAGTGCGGTTATTGTGTTCAATACAGTGAGTTTATAATATACATTATATACAGTATTGGTCTCTCAGGCCCCAAATGTTAGTAGGAATAGAAAAAAATTGGAAAACAAAAGAAAAAACAACTAAAACCACAAAATAATGTAATGTGCGTATGTGGAATTCGTCGATGTTGCCGCCACCACATCATTTTTGACAAACTTCTTGGCACTGTATCTCGGTAAGTACTGATCAGATTTTTTTTTTGTCTTAATACCTTCACAAAAATATGCTCTTTAATTCTGTAAGAAAAATATTTTTTTTTTTTTTTTTTTTTTCAAAATTTCTTGGACACTGGAGCACCACTTCAGATTTTGGCCTTGGACCCTGAAAGGGTTAACCCTTAAACTGTCCAAACATAGATCTACATTTTCACTGCCAGCACTCCAAATATTTTGATTTTTTTTTAAATTAAAAAGGGCAATTTTCTGTGTGTAATAAGACAAAAAATTAGGTTTAGTACTTGCGAGATATAAGGCCACAAAAGTTGGGGCTGGATGTGCCTGATGGCAACATGGAGTCCTGCTTCATTTTTATTTTAATTTATATAATTTTTATGTTCTGATAATTACAATTTATAGTAGTTCTTGTGATTTCATAGCCAATCTTTGTTCTGAAAAATAATATTAGGTACTGAATAGTACGGTCCTCCATCACAAATTCCCGGGATCATTGGGACCTGTAGTGGGCCGGATTACTGAGTTTGCCGGATTACAGAAGTGGTTAGGTTAGAATACACTTAATAAAATTAACCAACTTGACTTACACGAAGTTCATTGAACATTGGCAAAATCGAACATTTTTTACTACTTGGAGCTCAGTTTCAAGGTACTTTTCATCGTTGAAAGCAATCAAAATCATGTGTATTTCTGTAATATATCTTCCATTCTATCAAAAGAGACCAAAAAAAAAAGAGAATACAAACATAAAAACCATACGAAATATTACCGCAAAGAGGTGGCTAATGGCTGAGAAGTGAAAATCCCTTATTTATCGTCTGTGTTTTTTATTTTTGGTGTACGTTAAGAAGGGATCTTTCCATCATACATTGCCCAAACAAACAACCGAGAAAAAAAATATTTACCAAAAATCATATATGGCAGCCCAAGCCCGGTACTGGAAATAAGTCACTTTGTCTGACTTTTTGGGTTATCCTAGGTTCTTATACATACACCGCTATGTATGATAATCTATGTAACTGTATTTGTGTATACCTGAATAAACTTATTTACTTCTAGTCTGTCGACCCAAGTACAAGAAACTGCCCATTCACT